CGGTTCTCATCTTTTTGGTTTTATTCATGAAGGTAGACTCAACATAGCAGGTCCCAAGCCCTGGCAAAAGAGGAGGGTTGTGATAGGCGTGGCGAGCCAACGTTAAATCTAGCCATTCTAATGTAGATGAAACCCGAAAGAAAACTATTGGGGCGTAACCCTCTTAGTGACGCGCCATATCGGAACCCGGTATGGTGTTAAATGGGCAAGGGCCGGGTCAGCACCCCCTTGGTGACGCACCGTGTCGTGATCTGGGCATGGTGTCAAGTGAGCAAGGATCGGGTCGTCGCTTCCTTAGTAGCGCGCTACATCGGCGCCCAGGTGTAGTGAAAAATGAGCAAGGGTCTTTACATCTGAGTCGACGGGTGCGAAGGGTAAGAAAGCTAATCGAACCAACTAGGATCCGTTTAGGTAGTTGGAATGTAGGGTCGCTTATAGGTAAGTTAAGAGAATTAGTTGATACCGCGACTAGGAGGCGTGTAAATATATTATGCATTCAAGAGACTAAATGGAAGGGTCAGAAGGCAAAGGAGATGGACAATACAGGTTTCAAGCTTTGGTACACAGGGACAGTCGCAAATAAAAATAGAGTAGGAGTTTTGATTGATAAGAGCCTCAAGAATGGTGTGGTGGGAGTGAGAAGGCAAGAAGATAGGATTATCTTAGTCAAGCTTGTCGTTGGTGATATGGTCATGAACGTAATTAGTGCGTATGCCCCCCCAAGTAGGCCTCGACGAGAGTGCTAAGAGACAGTTCTGGAAAGACTTAGATGGCCTGATTAGAGCTGTACCTAGTAGTGAGAAGTTGTTTATAGGAGGAGATCTTAATGGGCATGTAGGTACTACAAGCGTAGGTTTTTGAGGTAGTTCATGGAGGTTTTTGGTATGGTAGTAGGAATCAGGAGGGGGAGGAAATCTGGACTTCGCAGTAGCTTTTGACCTGATGATAGCCAACACTTTCTTTAGAAAGAGAGAATCTCATCTAGTGACCTTTAGTAGCGGACAACACTCTAGCCAAATTGACTTTGTCCTCACAAGAAGAAAGGACAAACGAGAATGCTTGGGTTGCAAGGTGATACCAGGGGAGTGTGTTGTTTCTCAACATAAGCTTTTGGTGGTAGACTTTCGTTTTCAGGTGCGTGCCTACAGGGATAAACAAGCTAAGATTGAAAGAACAAAGTGGTGGAAACTGAAAGTGAAGACGTCAGAGGCATTCAGGGAAATGGTAATCAAAGAGGGCTCTTGAAAGGAAGAAGAGGACATAAACAACATGAGAGAGAAGATGGCAACCAACATTCAGAAGGTGGCCTCAGAGATGTGTGGAGTAACCAAAGGAAGTGGAGGCGAGGCTAAAGATACTTGGTGGTGGAACGAGGAAGTTCAAAGGGCTATTAAGGAGAAGAAAGAATGTTATAGTGTGGACAATATAGAGAAGTACAAGGTGGCAAAAAAGACTTCAAAGCGAGCTGTAAGTGTGGCAAAGGGCAGAGCGTACGAGGATCTTTACCAACATTTGAGTACGAAGGAAGGAGACAAGAACATTTATATGATGGCTAGGGTTCATGAGAAAAAGACAAGGGACTTCAACCAAGTTAAGTGCATTAAGGATGAAAGGGAGCATCTCTTAGTGAAGGAGGATGAGATCCGACATCGATGGCAAGAGTATTTTGATAAATTGTTCAATGGTGAGAATACGAACACAACCTTTCAGTTGGATGACTCTTTTGATGACACCAATAGGCGCTTTGTGCGGAGAATCCAAGAATCTGAGGTCAGAGAGGCGTTGAAAAGGATGAAAGGAGGTAAGGCGATGGGACCGGATGGTATCCCAATCGAGGTGTGGAGATGCCTCGGGGACATAGCTATAGTATGGCTAACCAAGTTGTTCAACCATATTTTTTGATCGAACAAGATGCCTGACGAGTGGAGAAGTATATTGGTACTGATCTACAAGAATAAAGGGGATATTCAAAGTTGTACTAATTACCGGAGAATTAAGTTGATGAGCCATACTATGAAGCTTTGGTAGAGAGTTATCGAGCATCGCTTGAGAGCAATAACGCGGGTCTCTATGAACCAATTTGGTTTCATGCCCGGAAGGTCAACCATGGAAGCGATTTTGTTAATAAGACAAGTTATGGAGTGGTATAGGGAGAAGGACCTACACATGGTTTTTATTGACTTGGAGAAGGCTTATGATAAAATATCAAGGAATGTTATGTGGTGGGCTTTGAACAAACATAAAGTCCCAACGAAGTACGTCGGGCTCATTAAGGACATGTACAACAATGTTGTGACTAGTGTTCAAACAAGTGATGGAGACACGGATGACTTCCTGATTAGGATATGACTACATCAAGGGTCAGCTTTGAGCCCTTATCTGTTTGCCTTAGTGATGGATAAGGTCACAAGGGACATACAAGGGGACATCCCTTTGTGTATGCTTTCCACGGACGATGTAGTGCTAGTTGATGAAAGCCGGACAGGAGTGAATCAGAAACTGGAGTTATGGCGGGAGACTTTAGAGTTCAAAGGTTTTAGACTTAATAGAACTAAAACTGAGTATATAAGATGTAACTTCGGCACTACTACTCGGGAGGAGGAAGATATTAGTTTGGAAGGTCAAGTAGTGCCTAAGAAGAATACCTTTCAATATTTAGGATCGATGCTACAGAGAGACGGGGATATTGATGAAGATGTTAGCCATAAAATCAAAGCAGGGTGGATGAAGTGGCGCCAAGCATATGGTGTCCTATGTGACAAAAGGGTACCACAGAAGCTAAAAAGCAAGTTTTATAGGATGACGATTAGACCTACTACGTTGTATGGTGCATAATGTTGGCCTACGAAAAGACGACATGTTCAACCGATAAGTGTCGCAGAAATACGTATGTTGCGTTGGATTTGCGGTCATACAAGAAGGGATCAAGTTCGGAACGATGATATACGTGATAGATTAGGGGTAGCACCAATTGAAGAAAAGCTTGTCCAACACCGGTTGAGATGGTTTGAACATGTCCAACAGAGACCTCTAGAGGCACCGGTGTGTAGTGGAATCCTAGGCTAAGATAGTAACGTGAAGAGAAGCAGAGAAAGACCGAAGTTGACTTGGATAGAAGCAATAAAAGGAGATTTGAAATGATGGAATATACCCAAAGACTTAGCCTTAGATATGAGTGCTTGGAAAATAGTTATTCACGTGCCTAAACCTTGATTGCTTCTGCTAGGTTTTAACTCTAACTTACCCCAACTTATTTGGGATTTAAAGGCTTTGTTGTTGCCATCGTCGTCGTCGTGAAGGTAGACTCAAAGTACGTACCAAATAAGCATGATATAGCACCATATTCTTGCAACATATCCCACTGATTCCATGCAACCTCATATGCATCATCCTCGATCAATCAAATCAATCTGTAATCATAGGAACATGCACAATTAGAAAATAACTAGAAAACCTTAGGCGCGGCAACGCCACGCCAGTTTGAGCTAGCCAAGTGGAGTGCCTGCATCAAGGTAACCCTGCATTAGCTTGAGCTAGCCAAGTGGCAGTGGAGCTTGTATCAAAGTGGAATCTATGAATCATCGGACCTCGGACGTGAACAGATTGCCAACCGTGGTGCAAAGAGACACCACAGTCCAGCTTAATGTTCTCAAATATTTGCAGCTGAAGGGATGTTAAAGGTACTGCTATTATAGTAAGAAATAAACATAAAACACTTACAGCTGAAGGGATGTTAAAAGTACGGCTGTTATAGTAAGAAATAATTTGACTGTTGTGTTTGATTCTACGAGATGACAGGGAATGGAAAACTAAAAAATATCACAAGTTCTTTATAGATGTTGGAAAGTTCGATCACCAAGATACTTTAGATTTCAATATCAAGTCCATGAGGTCATTTCTTCGTACAAGATATATGGAGTTAACAAGTGATGACAAGAGTTCAAGTTTTTTTTTTAAAAAAAAAGATCGACCGGAGTTCAAGTGGAAATTTTTGAACCTCTATAATAAGCTCACAAGCAACTATCCTTACAAGTAAAAGAAAAAATATTGAAAGAAGTGATACCCATCAATGTTAAGGCTTTGTAACCTCAGCCCACTAGGACATTTAGGGATGGAAACAAAAAGGTGACATCTAGTTTGTAAATGTGATAATGAGCAACAATGCAGTGATTGGTTCCCAACCCATGAATCATAAATAACTGAAGCAAGAAAGCAGATCAATCGAGAATTGACTCCAAAGAAGATACTGCCTTCTTGTTCCTTTCTAGCACTTCTAATTCAACTCTTTATCTAACTTTCAATGCAGTGATAGGTTTAAGAATAGCTCACTACAAATACTTGTGCGAAGAAATTTATGCAGATATGCATTCAGGAAAAAAAATCAAGTCATGTCATATTGCTACTATCAGTTGGAATTGAGAAAAAAGATCATTGCCCATCGTTGACAAATCTAATAACAGTGATATCATTTATGCCTTAAGGTGTATATATAATTATTTAGCTCCGAATGCATATAACTGGACAGTATCTCCATATACCTCAAAGCTCTGATCTGCATCACAAACCCTTCCATCAGTTTGTAGAGTGGGAGGCCATCAGCCGCATCAGGGCATCCTTCCGGCCGAACCCACTCAAAGTCCTGCCTCATGGCATGCTACAATGCATCAAAATGCTCCTCATTCCTCGCCAGGAAATATAGCCCCTTTGGCAGTCCCGAGATACACAAATGGTGAGAAAATACAGAGTACGGCAGAGCACTCTTGAGACACTGATATGGTACCCTGCACGCACTCTGCTGCCCTTGCCGCTCACCTGATCCAACCTCCCTGACGGGAGACAGTGTATCTGTATCAGCATCTGATAGAACGTGTCCCTTTCCATCACATGCACATCCATGTCTGCCGCCGTTCCTGGCATCCTCAAAATTGTCAACGCGAAGCCAATCGGTGTAGTTTAGATCATTATCTTCACAAGTGAGGCTATCCTGCAGAGCATTGTGTTTATTGAGAATGTGGTATTCGAGCTTTCTTCAGTGCTGCCTGCTGCGCCGCCCCACGCCACTCCTCGGGCTGCAGTGCTGCTATGTCCTTGCGGGCACGGTGGTGTGGAAGGTGCGAGATGGCGCGGGTGACAGAGTACGTCGAGGGCGTGGGCCGGCGGGCGAGGTGGCCAAGCGCCGCAGGCATGGTCAAGAGCACACTGTTGATGAGCAAGCGGTACTGCGATGCCGTCGGCAAGGAGGCCATCAAACCCACAACGCCCACACACTTTGGACGCAGCGGCGTCGGTCTTCTCGCTACGGCCGCGTTCCGGGCGGCACGGCCCGAGATGTGGGCAGTTGGTGGCGTAGCGGTAGGAGGCGGAGGGTGGACGTCGGCGAGCTGCGAGCGACGCGGCAGGTAAAGGGCGGAGACCGGCACCATCCCTGTTGTGGCGTCCTCGGCTCGTCGCGACGACTCGCCGGTGTGGGGCGCTCAAGCTTGTGGTCTCTCGCGTGAGTGACGTGATCTCTCGCGAAGAGTCCACGGCTCAATGCCGGTTCGCTGAAGACTCGAGGACGACGGCCCAGATGCAACTTCACCTAGGATCCGACGGTGGAGATTTTCAGGTGACGTGGCCCAATAATATTTCAGAGCTTGGCTCTGATTTAGAAGAAGAATAGATATACCATTCACATATGAAAGGATGAATACTAGGGAAGTTCTACTTAGTATACCAGAGGCATGTGATATAAGTTAAAACAGGTTATGTACATTCACAAAAAAGCAGTACATAGGTGTCCAGCCTCACTACCATCATAACAGACCATCACAAGCTAACAATGAGGACACTAGTTTATATCCCTGATGAACACTAGTACACAACAGACCACCATATGCTACACAAAGACAGCAGTTCATACACCAAAAGACGACATCAGACCTCCATAAGCTACACAAAGATAGTAGCTCGTATCCCAAAATAAGTCACAGACCAACACAACCTAAATGACCATAATGTAATACTACCCAACCAACTTATCAAGCTAATATAGGTTCTCCTTCTGGCACCACCTCTTTAACCAAGCTAGCCTACCCTCATTGGTGGTAAACGTAAACAAGACATCACGATTTTCGGCCTTGGCAAGGAGCTGGGTAGCCATAAAATGTTCAACGCTTCCTTCCACTGCCCCACTGTCCACAGCCAACTGCATTGCTTTCTGTATGGACTCAGCCCTTAGTTCCCCCTGCATCACCTTTTGAGCTACAACACTATTGGCCTGCATGGTCTCCATGATTCCTTTCATTATCTTAACCATAGGGCTCTTTATTCTCTTCTTTGGGCTACTGGCAGTTGAAGCAGTAGTACCACCTCTCTTCAAAGTAGTGGTATTCATAGGACTCCTATTGCATCCATCGTCACCACCATTTTCTTCTTCGGCGATGTGTTCGCCTGGAGCACGAGCCGATGATCCATCGACAACCACATTCTCAAACATCACTTCAAGGTACTCTAGACACTCCGGAGGCCCATTCTTAAGCTTCTTCCATTCAGAATGTCCCTGAGAAGCAAAGGTCGGCACCATCAGTCTGCATTCAACTTGGTGTTGTTGAAAACAGAAGAGTGCACAGTATGATTTGTACCTTTGTATGATCTTTCCAAAATTTTTCACTTGCCACCATTGATCCATTAGCAGCTCGGCCTAGTCCAGTATGGTTGTTAAGCCACAACCAAAAGGTATACAGGCCCTTAAGTGAATCCCATCTATTCTTTAGCTGAATTCTGGAGTGGCACAATCCGGTTCTCTGGTAGAACTTGTCTGATATGTTCTTATAGGCCCTAGTAGTTAGGTATCCATTTGGCCTATTCCCAGCTCTTGCCTCAGCAACACACAACTCACAGAACACCTCATTATTGACGCTATTCCAATCAGCCTTGTCAAACATTACCTCATCCGTCTATTGCATGTACAAGAGAAATCAAAGAAAACTCAGATGCAATGGCTCATCAATGTTTCATGTCATATTAAAAGTTTATCATACTACTAGCGTGAACCAACCAAAAGTAATTTTGAAACAAGCTGTTTCGCTTTATTAATATGGGGTAACGCGTAGTTTATGTGAATTGATCACTGAGCTAATGCATTAAATATATCAGCAAGCTAATTAAACATAAACGACTATCAGTAATGACCAATATGAGGCAAGAAACATATGTCCTCTGTTTCAAAAAGTTACACTACACGTAATTATATTTTGTTGAGTAGAGCATAAGGAACTCACCATGGAATCGTGAGCAAGAGCAGTCTCATCTTCACCTATGATGGCGGAATCATGTGCTGGGCGGCCACGAACACCACGACGACGGCCACCCGGGGGACGTCCTCCCTCGTCCCCTTCACCTCTGGAAACACGATGATGGTCACCATTGTGAGCGCTGGGAGCTGTTGTAGTCGCTCTGATAGCAGGTCCGGCCCGACGAGGAAGCTGATACGGCCTCGCGGCCGAGGCTGTACCACCACCCGACTTGGTTGGAATGGGCGCGACGCGCCGAGTTGCAGTAGTGCTCGGCGAAGTTGCAGTAGTGCTCGGCGAAGGGATGCCGCATCCACAACCAACGCCGGCAATCTGTTGGCCTGAGCCCCCAACAGCACCGGCGGTGTGAGAGCGCAACAACTCACCAAATGACATGCCGAAATCGAGGTCGGGGGCCTGGGAGTTGAGGTCTACGTCTTCCGTTGCACCAGCTGCTGCAGGAGGAGGGACGCCGTCGTCTGTGGGGTGTGCCGCTGCGTCGAAGCCGACCGGATCGGGAATAGAGTCTGAAATCCCGCCCGAGCCGACAAACTCCATGGAACCGAGATTGGTGCGACGGGTGTGCGGATCTGGAAAGAGCGTATCGTCTTCAGGCTCCTCGAGTGATTCGTCATGGGGCGGACGAATCGGATGGGCCGGCAGAACCCACGGGCGACGGTGGTTGGGTTGAGCGGTTGGGGCGGGGGCGGGGGCGAGGCGCGGTGAGGGAAGGTTATGGGCGGTCGGAGGGGATGGATTTTCCTGGCTGAGGGAGAGCGGCGGCCGGCTCGCTAGCACGGCCAGACGCTCGAGCGCTTGGGAGGAAGAAGGGCGGCGCCATTGTTGCGGATGGGAACGGATGAGAGGAGACGGAAGTCACGAAACAGGGAGGATCGATTCGTGCTTGCGGTAAAAATAGGGAAGGGTATATTTGTCTTTTACCATCCAGAAGCTGCAGGAAGCTGGGCTGGATTAGTTTGCCAGATTGTAAGGTATCATATTTTTTTTCCCTAAAAACACGTAGTTTTGTAACTTTGAGAAAAGTATTGAAAGAAAAAAAAAAGTCATCTCCAAGAGTTCTCAATAATCCACTCTTAAAATAGAAGATAATTTTACATCAGGAATTCTATACTACATTTTTATATATTCTTTTTCTCTCGTATATTTGCATCAGGAACCCTTTCTTACTTTTTATTCTTTCCCACACCCTTCCATCTTTAGAAGACAGGACGGAAAAAAGCGATGCGCGCAACAAAGGTTCCGCGTATTTTTACGCACGATGCCACCCTATTTGCCAATTGCTAATAGATGGGGAAGGGATATGAGATAGTTTTGGAGATGAGGTTTTCTCTTTTTTCCAAAAAAAAATTATGGATAGAAAAATATGGGATACTCTAGAGATGCTCTTACAATTCGTAATACTCTAAATTTTATATCTCCTACAATAAAAAAAAACAAAAGTAAGAGAATCAAATAGTACGACAATTTTTTGGTGCGTCGCTCTGCCATCGTTGTGCGATTCCACGCCCAACGTACACAGTAGGTGAAAGGGTTAAAAAAATAAAGAATAAAAAATGATTCTGGATGCAAATGTAAAAGAGAGAAATGATATATAAACGTGGAGGTGGAAGGGTGCGAAACAAATAAAGAATAAGAAAGGTTATCCTCTAATCACGTCCTAGTCTCGTGCGATCCACGTCCATCGTGCGCAGGACGTGGAAGGGTTCGAAAAAACTAAAAAAAAAAAAGATTCCGGATGCAAACGTACCGTAGAAAAATAATATATAAATATAAAAATAAAAAGACGTGAATAGAATAAAAAATAAGAAAGTCCAACAATCTTGTCCCTTGCCGATCGCGCCCTCTCCCGTCCGTGCGTCCCGCAGCACGGAAGGAAGACGTCCCGGAGCAAATTGAAAAAGCGTCCTCTCCTCTCTCCCCCCGCACGCACCGCCGCCGCCGCCTCCGCCTCCGCCTCTTCGTCTTCCTCCGCCAGTCCCAGCACGTGAGCCTGCAAGGGAGTAGAGGCCACGGCGCTGCGCTCGTGCGACCTTCCCTCCTCCATGGCCGGCGCGAGCTCCCTCCCCATTGAGGTCTTCTCCGTGGGATCTGCTCGAGCCGGCGCAGCCCCAGCCTGCACCGCGCGTAGCCCCACCTTGTCGTGCGCCTCACCTCGTGCCCAGAGGCGAAACCAGGGGGCCAGCAGGGGCCACGGCCCCCCCTAAGCGGCAAATTTCTTGGACCCCACTCGGCAGCCCAGCCGAGCAAGTCAGCAATAGAAGCAGGGACGTCGCAGTCGAGTCGCAGAGAGTAAACATCAGCGCCTCGTGATTCGCGTGATAACTCGCTACTTGCGTCGCTTCCTGTTCCCCGCGCGTTCGGCGATTCGTCGGCCAGGCGGATCACCGCATGCGGCGTGCCTCTCTACGCCTTGGCAACCGACGGCTGACGTCCGGCGGCGGGGCAGTGAGCTGAATTGCAGCGAGGATCGGCCGGAGACATCGACACAGCCGCAATCGGTCCACCGGTGCTGGGCGTAATCAGTGAACGAAATAGGTCAGTTCATCCCCTTAATTTCCCCAATCCGACAGTAACCATGACGCATTCTGATAAACTAACAGTATGATATATTTGTGCCACAACCCCCGCGTCCAAGTCCAGTCGCCGGCATCGCGGCCTCGCTGCTCGCGTCGCGGCTCGCTGGAACAGGCAAGCGCCGAGAAGGCAACACCGCAGCAGCCGAGCCTGAGCGACGGAGCAAGCACCACTGATTCACTGCGAGCGAGCAAGTCTGCAGGGGCATGCAGCCGCAAAGTAAGTATAATTTATATGATACGATTGCCAATTTTTTAAATTATTAATTTGCAATGATCATCTGTGCAAATTTTTTAATTCAGTTTGTATCTATGCTCACGCTAATTCAGGTAGAAGATAATATCTGACTGGTAGAAGATACACACATTTTGCCGGTCCTCGTATTTGTCCGACCAGACTGGCCCCCCCTTTCCTATTTTGCTGGCTCCGCCACTGCTCGTGCCGCGGGCAGCAGGAGCGGGAGGAAGGAGAGGAGAGGCGGCGGAGGGAGGGTCGTCGGCCGCGCATCAGGAGATCTCCCTTATCTGCACTGGAACCAGAGGAGCTAGGGTTTCAGGCTCGCGGCCAGTTCCATGCTGGCGGCCGCATCTGGCCGAAGGTGACTAGAAGCAGGTACGCCCCCCTTCCCGGCCATAGTAGATAGAAGAGAGATGGTAACTAGCCGCGCCACCGTGTGCCAAATGGTCACCCCTCGTGCTGCCTCATGCAGATCCGTGCTGCACGCGCGATATCTCGCATCATGCGGCCGTCCTGTCGTGGGCGCCGGCGGCGGCCTTGATCCCGGCGTGAGATTTGCGTGCTGCTGCCGGCTAGAACAACCTTTTGGCCCTGAGATTTGCGGCCGTCGTCGTGGCTGATGCCTTTTGGCCATGAGATTTGCAGCAGTTTTCTTTGTCTATCCATTATTGTGCCATCGGATTCAGGTCCCGTGAATGAAGCAACGTGTTGCCATTGGTTCCATAGTTGATTTCGTTAACAACTAAAATAGCATACTTATAAACGATATAAGCTTTAAGAGGTGATGTTGCTGTAGCATAGTTAGTTTTTCTGTGATCTCACTGAAATAACGAAAGAAGCTCCAGTGTTCTGCATCTGAATTAGTATGTGAAAACAGGGTGAATGGGAAGAGAGTGAGATACAACATATAGGCATGCTGTGCAATGTGTATGCTATTTTTTAAGATGGATGGTTATTAATCTGGCATATTCTATCAGCTTGCATAGTACTCAATGCATCCTAAATTGTAAGACGTTTGACTTTTTTCATGCTAAGTTTGACCACTCGTCTTATTCAAAAATTCGTGCAAAATATCACTTCTTTCGTCGGGGCTTGGTTTATTAATAAAAGTTTTTCAAGAATGACTTAAATTTGATTATGTTTGCATAAATTATTTGAATAAGACAAGTGGTCAAATTTGGGGTTAAAAAAGTCAAACGTCTTACAATTTGGGATGGAGGAAGTAGGATTTTGAAATTGAGATGAGCGTGCCCTGTACCCATTGATCCATGTTTGTAAGTTCATTGTATTACTGCTCTGTAGGCCATCTATGAAAACATAGAGCTTTCTAACTGTCATATTGTTCATTCAGAAATTGATTTTAGTGATTAAGTATTTTTCTCTGGCAGGCTTTGCAGAGAACATCTGTTACAGCCTCGGGACCTCAGGGCGTAGGGGTGCGAAGGGGGAAGCTGAGGCCTGGAGTCCCGGCGACGGATCGGCGGCGCCGTGCTCGGCGCCTGGATTGCCGGACGATGAACAGTGCTCCGAGTAGGGCAATGCCAAAGAGCGAGAGAGAGGTAATCTCAATTCTCTGGCTAAACTTTATTAAGCACACAATAGTTCCATACTTATACTCCAATCCTAACAACTTTCAGCTAATACAAAGGGATAATAACTAAATGACTCAAAGCCAGGAAATCTCCTAATCTTTAGGATTTAGCAACTGACCTGGCTGGTGACCGCGCCCTGGCCTGGCTCGGTGCCTTGGCCCGCCCTTGGCCTGGTCCCCAGCTCAGCCACAAGCCCTCTTCTTCCTTGTATAGACGTTGCCTACCATAACATCTCTCCCCCCCTCGGGAAACAGCTCGTCCTCGAGCTGGAAGGAGGGGTGCGCGGCGCGGAAATCGTCCACTAATTCCCAAGTAGCTTCGGAGGCCGGTAGGTTCGCCCACTGGACCAGAATGTGCCAAGCCCCACGCCGGAGGCTGGAGCGCAAGACGCGTTCTGGCTGCTGCAAAAGGCGACCGTGCTGAAGAGGTGGCAGAGGTGGTGTGGACGTCGGAGGATCTCCACGGAACGGCTTCAGGACGCCCACATGGAACACATCATGTATACGGGCAGCCTCCGGCAACTGGAGCCGACATGCCACCACGCCGGTGCGCTCCAACACTCGATAGGGCCCAGCATACTTGGGCCCAAGCTTGCTGCGGCTGCCAGGAACAAGTGACTGGGTATGGCAGTGCAGCATCCGAAGCCACACCCAGTCACCCACGGTGAACTCCAGTGGCCGATGGTGAGCGTCGTAGTGACGGCGGGCGTACTCCTGCGCCTGGAGCAAGCGAGCGCGTACCTCCTGAAGGAATTCATCGCGGTTGGACAAGAGGGCATCGACGGTGTCCGTGCGCGCGGAGCCCATCGCATAGGGCAGCAGCGCCGGAGGAGGCCAGCCATAGACCACCGTGAACGGCGTTGTGCGGAGTGCCGAGTGGAACGCCGTGTTGTAGCAGTACTCCGCCCACGGAAGCCAGTCGAGCCAGTCCCGAGGCCGGTCCCTGGTGATGCAGCGAAGGTACATAGCGATGGATTTGTTCACGGCCTCGGACTGGCCGTCTGTCTGCGGGTGGAAGGCGGAGCTCATCTGTAACTGGACGCCGGCCCGCCTGAAGAGATCACGCCAAACGTGGCCGGTGAACACCGGATCCCGGTTGCTGACAATGGACTCGGGGAACCTGTGCAGACGCACA